AAAATGAAGGTTTGGGTTACAATGGGAAGAAGATGAAAATTAAGGTTACAATGATATAGAACTGCGGTTTGAAGATGAACTGGATTCTGAAGCGGTTTGAAGATGAAGGTTTGGATTTGAAGCGAGCTGTTTACGTTGTTTGAAGATGAACCGTTGTTTGAAGGTCTGGATTCACCTTGTTCGTTGTTTGAAGATCACCTTGTACGTTAATGTCAAAATGAAATAATGGGTATTGGGTATGAAATAATGTTTATAATTAAATTTTATTTTATTAAATTTGTAAAAATGAAATAATATTTAAGTTAATGACATGAAAATTATATTAAATTAAAAAAAATCATTTTAATTGACATAGAAATGCCACATCAGCATTCAAAGCGACACCTCATTAAAAACATGACTTAAAAGTGACAAAGGGACTAATATTAATCTTGAAACCTAAAAAAGGGACCAAAATCGTGGTTTTTAAAATGGGAAGATCAAAACTAAAAAAACACAAAATAGGAGAACCAAAGTTGCAATTAAGTCATTCATCATTTTATTCTGTTTTATATATCTGCCATTTGCATTCGTAAGATTTTGTTTTTGCACAGGAGGAACGAAAAGGATCGCTTCTTCTTCATCTGAAACTAAACCTAGAAACCCTAATTCATACCATTACAATGGTGTTTATCGTTCCACCCACCGGAAAAATCTTATCCCTAGACGTAAACCCTAACACCACCACTCTCCATACTCTTAAACACCAAATCGAAAATTTTCACGGCATACCAATTTCACACCAACGCCTATTCCTTTCCCAGAGTCTCCGATTACTCGGCGACAACGATTCTCTCTTCATATCTAACCTAGGCGTTGGAAGTTACTCAACCCTAACACTACATGTCCCTTTTTATGGCGGCACTCAACCTCCCGCGGTTCCCAAACCGCCTCGGTTCGATTTTCTCAATTCCAAACCGCCTGCAAATTATGTTGCCGGACTTGGTCGTGGTGCTACTGGATTCACCACTCGGTCTGATATTGGTCCCGCGCGTGCCGCGCCTGATCTTCCGGATAGATCTGCTGCAGCGGCTGGTGCGGCACCCGGTGTTGGAAGGGGGAGAGGGAAAGGCGGTGATGATGCGGCGGAGGAAGACGAGGAAGGAGAAGATAAAGGTTATGATGAGAATCAAAAATTTGATGAGTTTGAAGGGAATGATGTTGGTTTGTTTGCTTCTGCAGAGTATGATGAAGATGATAGAGAAGCCGATGCGGTTTGGGAGGATATTGATAAGAGAATGGATTCTAGAAGGAAGGATCGGAGAGAGGCTAGGTTGAAGGAGGAGATTGAGAAGTATAGAGCTTCTAATCCTAAGATTACTGAACAGTTTGCTGATTTGAAACGGAAATTGTATACGCTATCGCCGGATGATTGGCAGAGTCTTGAGAAGTTTGAGAGTGGTGGTTATTCGTCAAAGAATAAGAAGAAGAGGTTTGAAAGTTTTGTTCCTGTGCCTGATACTCTTCTTGAGAAAGCTAGGCAGGAACAAGAGCATGTTACTGCTTTGGATCCTAAGAGTAGGGCTGCTTCGGCAAATGGAACTGAGACTCCGTGGTCGCAAACACCTGTTACTGATTTGACTGCTGTTGGTGAGGGTAGAGGTACTGTTTTGTCGTTGAAATTGGATAGGTTGTCTGATTCGGTTTCTGGTATGACTAATGTTGATCCGAAGGGGTATCTAACTGATCTTAATAGTATGAAAATTACTAGTGATGCTGAGATTTCAGATTTTAAGAAAGCTAGGTTGTTACTCAAGAGTGTTATTCAAACTAATCCAAAACATCCTCCTGGTTGGATTGCTGCTGCGAGGTTGGAGGAGTTGGCAGACAAGCGTCAGGCTGCTAGGCAGTTGATACAGAAAGGGTGTGAAGAATGTCCCAACAATGAAGATGTTTGGATGGAGGCTTGTAGGCTGGCGAATCCCGATGATGCGAAAGCTGTGATAGCTCAGGGTGTGAAGTCCATCCCTACTTCTGTCAAATTGTGGATGCAGGCTTCGAAATTGGAAAACGATGATATGAACAGGAGTAGGGTGTTGAGGAAAGGGCTGGAACATATTCCCGATTCAGTTAGGCTGTGGAAGGCTGTTGTGGAGCTTGCAAATGAAGAAGATGCTAGACTTTTGCTTCATAGAGCGGTGGAATGTTGTCCATTGCATGTGGAGTTATGGCTTGCGCTTGCTAGGCTGGAAACTTATGACAATGCTAAGAAGGTTCTCAATAGGGCAAGAGAAAGGCTGACCAAGGAGCCTGCGATATGGATAACGGCTGCCAAATTGGAAGAAGCTAATGGAAATACATCCATGGTTGGCAAGATTATTGAGAGGGGTATTAGGGCTTTGCAGAGAGAAGGTGTGGTAATTGATAGAGAAGCTTGGATGAAGGAAGCAGAGGCAGCCGAACGAGCTGGTTCGGTTGCAACTTGCCAAGCAATAATCCATAATACAATTGGAGTTGGAGTTGAAGATGAAGATAGGAAGAGAACATGGGTGGCGGATGCTGAGGAATGCAAGAAAAGAGGTTCTATTGAGACTGCTAGAGCTATATATGCTCATGCCTTGACTGTCTTCTTAACTAAGAAGAGCATATGGGTTAAAGCAGCACAACTTGAAAGGAGTCATGGTACCAGGGAATCTCTTGATGCATTACTTCGTAAAGCAGTTACTTATAGACCACAGGCTGAAGTTCTATGGCTTATGGGTGCCAAGGAGAAGTGGCTTGCTGGAGATGTCCCTGCAGCTCGTGCAATTCTCCAAGAAGCGTACGCCGCCATTCCCAATTCGGAAGAAATATGGCTTGCAGCATTTAAGCTAGAATTTGAAAACCACGAACCCGAAAGAGCTAGAATGTTGTTGGCTAAAGCACGAGAAAGAGGAGGTACAGAGAGAGTCTGGATGAAATCAGCTATCGTAGAGAGAGAACTGGGAAACCTTGAAGAGGAAAGAAAACTGTTAAATGAAGGACTGAAGCAATTCCCTTCGTTTTATAAATTGTGGTTGATGCTTGGCCAACTTGAGGAACGGCTTGCCGATACTGCAAAGCAGCAGGATCAACCTGAAAAGCAGCATGCTCACAAGATGGAAGCTAAGAAGGTCTATGATTCTGGACTGAAAAGTTGTTCTAGTTCTGTACCGCTCTGGCTCTCTCTTGCTAATCTTGAAGAGGAGATGAGTGGACTTAGTAAAGCTCGTGCAGTTCTTACAATGGCTCGAAAGAAGAATCCTCAGAATCCTGAACTCTGGCTAGCAGCAGTTAGAGCGGAACTAAAGCATGGATTTAAGAAAGAGGCTGATATTTTGATGGCAAAAGCATTGCAGGAGTGTCCCAATAGTGGCATTCTATGGGCATCATCAATTGAGATGGCTCCTCGTCCTCAGCGAAAAATCAAGAGTACGGATGCCCTGAAGAAATGTGACCATGATCCTCATGTTATAGCTGCTGTGGGCAGATTATTCTGGATTGATAGGAAGGTGGACAAAGCCAGGAATTGGCTGAATAGGGCTGTGACACTTGCTCCTGACATCGGTGATTTTTGGGCTTTGTGCTACAAATTTGAATTACAGCATGGAACTGAGGAGAACCAGAAGGATGTATTGAAGAGATGTGTTGCTGCTGAACCAAAACACGGGGAGAAATGGCAAGCGATCTCAAAATCAGTAGAGAACTCTCACCAACCAACAGAATCCATCTTGAAGAAAGTGGTGATTGCACTTGGGAAGGAGGAGAAGGCAGCCGAGGATAGTAAACATTGACTTACCAGAACCATAGCTTCTTTCTGTCAGAAAAAAGGATTGTAGCATCTTTACCATTGGTTAGTGTTGAAATTTCATAATATGTAAATTATGAATAATTTAATTGTTATATCTCATGTATTGACTACTCTACAGTGTAGAGTTATGAAGGAACTTGTATGCTAGTTTGATCCATGTTCTCTTATCCTTTGACTCTTTTCTTTACTCTGCGACTTTGGTATTTTGAGAATTAGACTTTTGCCATCTAACCAGTGTGATTTCCACTCTATTGCACATGATTGGGTTGGTATGTTATTTGATTCTTTAGTTTGGATTGGTATGTTACTTGAATTTGGATTGTAGATTTTTCATTTGGCATCATGGAATCCGGATAGAGTTGTGACATCCCTAATTGCTCTCATTTTTATCTTCATATATAAAAGTAGGAGAACACTATTGTTATCTGCATCAGCATTTTCATGCTCCTGCCCAAAATAAAGGCAAAATTGTAAAAAACATGCACAGAAACTTAATCTTATTAAACCTCTTCTTCATTCCACCAGGTCAATTCGTTCTTCAAAATGATTTTATGTTTTAATAGATATTACTTGATTTTTTTTTGCGTGCTTCATGTTAGTACTAATTTTGCATTCTTAGTGCAAGTTTTGCAATTTTGCATATATCATTATGCATGGATTTATTTAAAATCAATTGCCTTTTTAAAAAGAAGTGATTTCTTAATGTTATGACGGCATCACTGAAGTTCTCTAGACATTATATTTAACGTTTCTTTCCTTTTTTTGTGGGACGAGGATTTTGTTCCAGTAGCCGTTGAAATCTGAGCTGTTCTGTTGGTAAGCATGTTGTTGCGGGGATTTGAATTTGGGGACAATGATTCATTTGGATTTGAGCTATACCTTACAGTTTAAAATGTTTATTATTATGATGCTGATTCTGTCCCCAAAATATTCTAAAATCGAAACAACTTTGTTCCATGCAATCAACTTTGTACTACCAAATTATACATATATGATGTGTGATTCTGTTGAACCTTTTATTTTCATCCAACAATATATACAAAACATTGTTCATTTCTTGATCCTCAAACTTATAAATGTCCATACCAAAATACTTTGAAGGACCAAAAATGATCAAACAAACATTGTATATAAGATGGACATCATCATCAACTGTTTTATTAGGCAAACATTTATTCTAATTATACAAAACCTATAATAAGAAACTAGACACCAAAGGTGATTGGCATGTTGCTTCAGCCAGCTGACTCCAAGAAATATTCCAAGTTTGGTTGCAGAATTCTGAGATTGGGGATGATCCTAGTTCATAATCTGCAGGAAAAATACTGTCATCATCATAGGCGACCTTTTTCTTTTTGGTTGTTTGATGTTCTTCCTCGGATTGTATTTTTAAGGATTCAGATTCCTCGGAAAGAGAGGGCAGAGGTGTAGCTCTACCGACAAAAGACTTGCTTGCTTTTCTTGTAATTGTTTTGATCTGACTACTCTGTCCAATTCTATCTAGGTACTTTCCTTGTGCTTCAATTTTCAGCTTCAAGCTTTTCTGAACCTTCCAACCAAATAACAAAAAATCACTATAGAGATTTTCTTCATCTTTCACTGTTTAAAGTACCTTATGTGAATAATAACTATAGTTTTGTTTTAATCCTATAAAGGGTATTTGGTCAAAAAACTATACAATACCTCAACTCTGTCATTCATGCGTTTATGCACCTCTGCTTGCATTTGAAGTACTTCCTTTAACTGAAGAGCACTGTTCATTTACAAAATTATAATTAACAAGTTGATTGAAAAGAAGAAGTGAAAATTGTTGTTGAATGAGTTGTTGACATACGATATAGAACAGAAATTTGGAAGTATATGTGATACACCTCTCTTCTCAATCTTTCCTCCTTCATAGGTGATCAAGAAATGAATTATAGTTTCAACAATTGTATTTGGTACTATCATATTTAATCAAAAACTTATTTGGTTAAGTAAAAAATTTACTTGTGGTGGATTCTGGAATCAACTTGGAGTTCCTGTATTTCTGAGCACATCCAAGAATTTAGTATACAGTTTTCAAATTGAAAAACAATCAAGTAAATGCATACTCCTTAGTTCTTATATCTTTCAAAGGATTAAAATGGGTGAAAAGTGGAGAAGAACCTGCAAGTGGCTTTTGACATGATAAATGTTCAAATTTGAAATGTCTGTGGCCATCATTACCTTCAATATACCCTTTGGTGTTGCCCCTGACAAACAAACCACATCATTTTGGTCCTAATAATTCATACAAGACTAGAGGTTAACATGACAACCAAAAAGTAACATAAAATTTTATGTAATTATTTTAGTGAATAACTATTTGATTGGATAAAGATGGACGTTGTAACAAAAAAAATATATAAAAAATGAATGGAAGGTAAAATTGATAAAAAAGACTACATCAAAACTTGATATCAACTTCATATATAGGTATAGGAACAAATATTTTTTTTAAAATAAGTATATTTCTTTCAATAAAGAAGTATAAAGTTACAAATAAAATAGTTCAAATAATGAATAAATTAGAAGTAAAAAGATGATAAACTTAAAGCTGGTATCTCCCTTTTATACAAGTTTCTTGATGTTTATAAATTAAAATAATAATAATAATAATAATAATAATAATAATAATAATAATAATAATTAAAAAAACACAAATGAATGAAAAAAAAATCAAAATCAAGTTATATTAACAGCAAACATAATCATTTTGTTAATAAAAAAGGGAAATAAAATTTCAAATAAGTTTTGTAAGCGAAGTTAAAGGTTTGAGTCACTCAAAAAAAAAACATTAAGAAAATAGATTCTCTAATTGTTGGATTAAAAATAGACAATATTATATTTTAAAATATATGAAGTATAATTGTTGGATAAAAATTAGACAATATTATATTTTAAAATGTATTTTACAAGATTAGAATACAAATCATCAAATCTTATTCAACAACTGAAATCTCTTCACACATCAATTAAAAAAAATCTTATTTAATACTTGAAACTTTTTTAATTGACCAATTGAAAAAAGAAATCTTTTTCAAAAGTCGAAATCTCTTCATTGATTGATTGGAAAAAAAAAAGTTAAGTCTGATCAAGTCCATATTCAAACTCAATTTTTAGGAACAATTTGTGTTTAATTAATGTTCATTAACCGAAATTTCCTTCCCATTACAAAAGGGTCGCAAACAATAAGGAAAAAGTCCTACATATTTCAAAACACTAATCAACAAGAACAATAAATATTTTTTCAAACATATCTACCATTAAACATGTTTTAGTAAGTAGACTTTGTTAATATGATTAATCATTTGACATAATTCTTATGAATTAAAGAAATCTTACACCTTAAAAGTACTAATAAGTAAAAAAAAAACCTACAAAATTGCAGTACACATGTTACATGTTATAATGCATAATATTGTTAGAAATTACTAACATAACTCATTAAATTAGTTCAGTTGATAGCTCTGTAGAGACGTCAGATGCAGAAGCGCGAGTTCGAATTCGCGACAGTTTAATTAATTCAGCTCAGTTTATAGTTGTGTAGAGACATCAGATGCAGATGCGCGAGTTCGAACTTGTGATAGTCTAATTAAATCAGCAGTTGATAGATATGTAGAGACATCAAATGCAGATGCGTGAGTTCGAACTCGTGGCAGTCTCATTAAATCAGCTCAGCTCATAGCTGTGTAGAAACATCAGATGCAGATACTCGAGTTCGAACTCGCGACAGTCTCATTAAATCAGCTTAGTTAATAGCTATGTAGAGACATCAGACGCAGATGCGCGAGTTCGAACACGCGACAGTCTCATTAAATCAATTCAGTTGATAACAGTGTAGAGATATCAAATGTAGATGCGCAAGTTTGAACTCGCGACATTCCATTTATTTAGTTTTAAAAACTGAATTCAATCCCTAGAATATAAAACTTACTATCAGGGCCACCAAGCCTATTTACAGCCTCCACAAAGAGATCATGGAGTTGTTGTGTCCAGCGTAAGCGTTCCTTGTGTGTGGCAGAGCCTTCATCTGAGCGAGTGGAACCCATAACTGAACTCTTGGGGAGATGCCCAAAACATTTGGTTACAAAAGTGAAGGATTATAGTAAAAGGGAGAATGAAAACAAGACAAAAACAGTTGTCAAAAACATAGAACTAACCAACATGACGATGTTCACCAAGGTATATTTGTTTCATTAGATTCTACATTTTGTCTTTAGTTGTCGGAACAAACCAGGCAGTATAGTTTGCTTGGCGAGAATGCCTATGATTTTGTCAATGTCATAGATTAGTCAATCAAATATGATTCTATATAAAACAAACTTCATAATAAGTTTGATGCATCTAGACGATCAATCTCGCAACAAATAATAATACATCGGTATTGTTCGATCGAGTTAAGACCATTCACAAATTGACTCGAGTTTTGATGTAAATTTAAATTCATCATAGGAGGACTAGGCTATATAAATGGATTATAATTTGCAATGGTGAGATAGCTAAAAATAAACATGAATAAAATCTTGAGAAAAATTGTTTGATTTCTCTCACTAAAGTCAAACATGAAAGAGTTTACATGAACTTCTCTAAGTAATGTAATAACAATGTCAAAGTATCTTTCTCAGCCAGGAAACATCATTCATTTGTGACATATATGTATTCCCAACTGCCTTTGAAACTAGGGTCTGGCTCTTCTCAAGCTGCAAGAAGGGCACTTGTATTGCTTTATGCTCTCAGCTTTTGCAGGAGTGATCTTCACACATTTTCCATGGTACCACCTCTCACATATATCGCAGCCAATCCAAAACTCATCGGCATTGTAATTTCCGCCGCAGGTCCCGCAAAGTGTTTCGCTGTGCTCGTCTTCCTCCTCCTCATAACCGTCGTCTGCAGGAAACTTTGGGTTGCTTTTGACTTGCCCATCACTTGATCTCTGCAAATAAATGTAAAAAAAAAGCCTATATGCTGAACCAGCCAAATGAACCAAAGAAAGAAGTATATCTATCTCACTAGAAATTAAAACACTAACCTTGGTGCTTCCTCTTGATTTGCTTCCACTGTCCGCTGCCGGCTTGTTGTCCTTAATCGGCTTCCTGTCGGTCACAACTTCAAATACGGTGGGAAGTTCGTTGATTAAACTAAACAAACGTTTCCTGCAATAAAGAATCATGAAAACCATCAATGTAAGAAACCATATGTCATGTTGTTGCACATGTTGAACAAAACTGCTACAATGAACAGATTCAACCTATAAGGTATATAACATCTTAATTGCTATGGTAATACCATATAACATAAAAAGAGATTAAAAGTTCAACATAACAACAAATCATCTCATAATAAGAAATCATAACACATAACTTGTTCAACTATCAATCAAAATCATAAAACCTAAGCAAGACTTTGAATATCACACTTTAACAATCGAGGAACACATTTGACGGTGACTGTTTGGCAGTGCAGGAACACCTCTAAGAGTCACTGTCATATGTGCGGATAACCAAGGTGGTGAGTACGATCCACATTACCGATAGATAATTGATCAATCAAGTATCACAGATCAATTATAAACCACTGTGATTAACTCAAATCATAAACAATAGTTTTTCAACACTAAACAAGGTTCACGAGAATGTGATAGAGAGACACATCTAACTTCAATTACAGCCATATACATACATCTCCACCAAATCTAAATAGTTCTTACCTTTCATTCCGGTTAAGACGAGCTCCAAGGTAGAAGGCAACAGAAAGCAACCAAGAATCACTGTGTACAGCAACAAGCGAAAGCCAGTCCCTACGATTCATACCATCTCTAGCAAAATTAATCCCGAGAGCCGGCTCAGGAAGCTCCGGCGGAACCTCCTCTGCTGGCAGAGTCACTTCCCAGCTTTCATTTCCATGTCCATAGAGACACAAATTATCCTTATCTAAACAAACACACCACAAATCCAAACTCAATTGAAGCACAAATAAACTAAATATCACAAAAACCACGTAAACCTAAACTGAATGTGACCCTCAAATCAAATTCCTTAAAGCAATTACTTTACAACCCTAGTTAAAACAATCATGCAAAATTCACACATAACACAGAATCAAAATATTTTAAAATATTATAATTAGAAACAAAAATTAAGTAAACAATAAAATCAGATCCGTTTATAGACGTTACCTGGATCACAGAGTCCGTAAAATTCATCAACATCTGCGAAAAAGGGAAACAAAAACAAAAACAAAAAAGGTAAGAACTTTGACATTAAAAGCTTGAAAAAAGGAAAACCCAAATAAGAATTTCGAGATAAAACAAAAAGTACCGAGAGTGAGAGCACGAAGAACAGCGGTTCTACGAGCGTTGAAATCTTTGAAGATCTCTTCAACGGAACGAGGGCTAGAAGCCATTTCCATAACCCAATTGAGATCTGAGAAAAAGGGAATTGGATTTGGGGAAACTAGATGGAATTGAAAGGATAAAGAGATGAAACCATGAGAAGGGATCAAAAGGAACGTGGAGTAGAGAGAAGAGAAGAGGGTGTGTTTGTTTGTGTACTGGTGTAGTAGTGTGTGTTTGTTGATGAGGTGATGATTCTCTGCGGTTATATAATGGTGGGGTTAGTAAGATCGAAAGGTGTAAAATGATGTGTTGTTGAATGATCTGAATCTAATGGTTGAGATTCGTGAGGTTTGTTTTGGTGAAATGAATTTGTTCATTTGGTAAGTTACTTTATATGTGATGGATGGTTTTAATAATTTCTTGTCACCCATAACTATGAAAGAAAATTTTTAAAAGAACTATTTAAAAAAAAATATTTTGAAAAATTAAAAGTGAAATTTGATATATTTAAGAGATTATAAACATATTTGCCGTTATTTTTTATGATAGTTTTTTTTTTAAATTCACAAAAATATATATTAATTTAAAAAAATAATAAAAATTAAAGGTAATCATTAGGATTAAATCAATTTAGCAAGACTAAAAGGATCTAAAAAACGCATTACATTATCATCTTTGCAGGTGGCTTTTAATTTTGACATTTTGCCACCCCCTATATACTAAACTATTTATAATTTTGTCTTTTATACTTGTATTATCTACAGTATTCGCAAAACACACAATATTTTTAAGTCGCCATATGTTATAAACTGTCTCAGTTACCGCCATTTTCATGATGGAAGCTTTTCACCCTTTGCCTTTAGTTACTCCAATAATGTAGTCTAACTCTTCATCCCACTGCTTTGGATCATGTTTCACATCAATCCACTTAAGGATATTGAACCATGTTGGCTTAGTCTTGCTGCAACAAAAAAACAAGTGGTTGATTGATTCCTCTTCGTTCTTGCATAAACTATAATATCTTGCAGCATACTAAATCTCCTCAATCTGTCTTTAGTGGCTAACTTACCATGGAAAGCTAACCAAAGGCAGGTCACAACTTTAGGTCTGGCCTTGTTGTTGCTGAGAAGCTTCCTCTAAGTAACCCCGTTATCATCATCATTCAGCCTGGTATAGAAAGGTTTCAAGAGAAACCTCTGTTGAGTCAGAGCGTGGTCCTAAAGCTGCTGAAGACCCCCAATTTCTCCGTTTGATTCAATATGCTTTTGAAAATCCACGAATTATATGTTTTAGCTTCATAATCCATCACTCCAGTGCCTTTAAGGTAATAGATGTGCATCCATTTCACCCACATATTATCATACTTTCTACACAGATTTCAAAGGCACTTCAACAACAGAACACAATTCCAAACAGTTAAGTTAACTATCTGTAGACCACCTTGCTTTCTAGAGCTACACATTCTCTTTCAAGCAATATTACTCTTTCTACTAGGCTCAGGATTTCCAGTCCAGATGAAGCTCCTACAAATGGTATCAATCTTCTTGATCACAAATTTAGGAATGGAGAAACATTGCATCCAATATTAAGCAATGGCACAAGAGATGCTTTTAACCAGTTGAATTCTTCCTGCATAACTCAGAAGTTTGGTGGTCCAATGTTGCACCCTGCCAACTATCTTCTCAACCAAAGGCATATAATGGTGAATGGTGAGCTTTTTACTAGTAAGAGGGACTCTGAGATACTTGACTGGAAGGGATCCCTTTTGAAAATCACTAATGCTTCTCAAGCTCTCCTTGTTACGGTTGTCACTACCACCAAAATACATTCTACTTTTGTTAGGGTTAGCCATCAGCCTTATGGAATCAGTGAACCTCTTAAGGCTTCCATCACCATCTCCACTGATGTTGCATCTCCTCTGCAGAACAACAATACATCATAAACAAAGGTAAGGTTAGTGAGGTATAACTTTTCACACTTGGCATGATGGTTAAAGTTGGGATCTCTTTGCATCTTGAACATATACATGTGCATGTATTCCATTATGATAACAAAGAGCAAGGGTGATATGGGATCACCTTTTTCTTATTCATCTCTTAGCCTTCAGGAACTTAGAAAGTTCACCATTAATATTGAACTTGTATGAGACAGTAGTAACTCTAGTCATGATCCACTTGATAAATTACCTAAGAATGTCTGTTTCTTTTAAGATACACTCCAGAGAACTCGAATTAACCATATCATAAGCCTTCTAAAGATCAATTTGTATCATGAATTGATGTGTGTCTCCCTTCCTAGTATAACCTGTTAGCGGCTCATAAGCTAGTAAAATATGATTGTGAATGTTTTGGCCATGAACAAAAGCTGTCTGACAAGGGCTGACAATGCTATGAAGAACTTTCCCCAACCTCTTAGTCATGATTTTTGATATGATCTTGTAAAATGTTGTGCATCCTGCTATGGATCTTGTAAAAGTTATGATAATTTTTAGATTTTAATGTATTCAGTTATCTTTTAAAATTGTATATTATTATTGTTACGTTTTTATAAAATATTTTATGATATTCTCTGAATAAATTTGTGTTTAAATTATGAATGATAAATATTATTATATTTTGTACAAAAATTTTGTTCGAATTATGAATGGTAAATATAAATATTCTTACGATAAAATTATAAGAATAAAAAAGTAATTTAGTTTTAAAATACATCATC